TTTTGTGTTTCTAAAAATCACTCATTTAATAAATGTTTATGATTTTATTAGGAAAAGCAATAGCTCGGAAAAGGTTTTTTTGTCAAGACCATAGTCTTACGTTATTTTATACGATAAAAAATTCACTACTGCAGCAATTGGTTATATTCGAAGTAAAATAATCACAAAAAAAAAATGTAATTTTTTTCATGGTAAAATGACGAGTATAATTAATACCTTTTTAATTCTAAAAAAAAACTAAACATTGCGCTCGTGATTTTACCTTTTGTATAAAAATAGACACAAATTTTAAGAAGATTATTATCTCGAATGATACTTGACATGAATATGTAGTTAGTTAAGAGGCGATAAAAGTAAATGTGGTTTTACCAGCGATAAACTTTTAGAAAACTTGAGTTTTATCTGTATAACAATGACGTGAATGGTCCAAAATTAATCGAAAAATGACATTTGTTTGGCTATAATAAGAGAAATCGTAAATAATACACTGTAGTTTAATCAGAAGAAGGGTTAAATTTTTTTGTTTTTCTTGATTTTACCCCTTGAAAACAAAATTCGAGAAAAAGATTTAATAAGATCATTGTCATGTTTTATGAATAAAATAAATTGCATATATATTTTAATATTCCAAAATTCCAACAGATGATAAAACAGAATGTGGTTTTACTAGGGATAAAACTTTAGTAAACTTGTTTTGTCCGTATAATAATGACGTGAATAGTCCAAAATTAATAAAAACAATTGCATTTGTTCGGCTACAATGTAACAAGTGAAATGATATAATACAAGAGACTGTAGTTTTGTTGGAAAACAATGCTTTAGAGTTTTTGTTTTCTTGATTTTACCATTTTTTCAAAAATAAAATTCGAGATGAAATTTTTAATATTTGACAAATAATATGACGTACTACATTTGGCTTAAAATTTAGTTTTTTAGAGCGTGTGATAATTTTTAGTGATATGTGGTTTTACCAGAAATAAAACCACAGTAGGCTTCACCTTTGTTGGTGTAATAATCAAATAATTGGTGTAGAATTAATCCACATTTGATGGGCTACATAGAAATGAATGAAATAGTCAATGATCTTTACATTTTCACTAGCCTTTGGGTTTTGTCCCTTTTTTCCCTTACCTACGCTCATGCTCCACTCCTCCTGTCACCTATTTTCAAAGAAATGCCCGGTCTAAATGACACACTTCTAATATGTGACAAGGAAATTCGGTGTTTATCATAAACTACATTAACAATTTAAAATTATGTATATATTATGGTCACGATTTGTGTTTTATCAACCGTGCAAATGGACTTCCTCGTACGGAGTACGTGCTGTATTCTACCGTACAATCAAAATCATTACAATTTACGTAACTAACGTATCTGGAACTGACGAGAAATTGATTGCTGCATATAATTTTCCTATCAGCGCTTCTCCCTTGACTGATCAGAGACCTTGGCACTGACCCCAGCGCATAATTGTTAATTCTATTCATTATTTTGTGCAAAAAAAACGAATGCTTGTTTACGATTTAAGTGCACGCCAATTAAAAATGCATTTTCATGCGAAATCGGATATTCTAAATATAGTACCGTCAATTAATCTGTGATATTTCATATGGGTAGGTAATTTTTAATGTTCGACAATTTTTTTAAGTGCTTACTGTACTATATTGTAATCATGAACATGCCAGGAGATAGTGGCGAACGAAAAGATAAAATTTTTGCATAAATTCGAGATATCTCTTCCTTGAACTCATTCCACTGAGACGAATTCTTTCTTATCCTCTTATGGGGCGTGTTATGCGTGATTTTCAGTAAATTTATAACAGTTTTTTGTCGAGAGTTTTAGAAAATCTAAGCAAATTAGACACTATATCTGTTTTACAAGTGTTTTCTGGGGTATAAGACATTTTGAATAAGGAAATATGTATATTTTTACCTATTATGTTTATCATTACATTTCCTGAAACTTATACACCTGTTGAACCTACAGAAAATCGCGAACGGCTCTATAAACATAATCATACTCCGCGGTATGCTTTTAAGAAACTATTAACACAAAAATTAATCACAATTATTAAGTAGTTTTCACAAAACTCTCGACAAAACAGGATAGGTACATTTTCCGATGTTTCACAACAAAAAATTAAATAAATCCTTGTATTTTCAACATTTCCTATAGTTTGATGGTGATAGTCACAGTAGTCATCCCTAGAACTTTTTTTGTTGCCCAGGGTTGGACTGACATTAACATTTTTGAGTGGTATTTGCACCGACTTTACGTAATAAAAAAAATGCGATGACATATGACATGGAAAATAGTTGTAATAATAAAAATGTAACTTACAAATCGCTTTCAGCAATAATAGGCCTGCAAATACTCTACGAAGTTACGATTAAAGAAATCTTTACTAAAAAAGCGAATTCTTGTCTATAAAAAGCCGAATTTTGGTATGACTGTACCGTACCGGTGAATTAAAATTTGGTACAGTTGCGTTCAAAGGACTCTTATCTAAACTATTTCTGGGGAAATTATTTATAATATACGCGACGTACTATGAGTTACAGCGGCGTCTTGGGAGGCCCCGTGCCATTTCTTCATCTTTTTCAACTCTGCCCACGACGCTGATATTTGGCAATTTAATACGCTGTTTGTGTTTTGCAACAAACCATTTACGTTGATATTTTATTCAATTTTGGTACGATCCAAACATGCATAATTGCGGTATCTACTAAACTATGAGGTAAATAATAGCTTCTCTCCGCCTAAACTGCCCGATTTAACACCTACAGATCCCAAATTTGAAAGGAAAGTTTTTGCACAATTGTAAATGCCAAACAGAGTTCGTTGCACCTTCTGTGTGGTAAATATATTGTTGTGATTACATTCCTTGATGGTGTTACGACTTTTATTAATAAGAACTTGGCAGTCCAGACTGTTTTCCATTCATAACAGTAGCACACTCGACTATTTTAAGAAGAGGTTGAGCTACGAAGTAGTTTTTTAATAGTACGTGCGATACATCTTAAAAAATCGAAAATAGACAGTGTACACTGTAAAAAATCGGTGTGAGTGAAAGCAATAAAGATTCGGAGTGAATCAAGTGAGTGAAATTATTGAGTAGGTACATTTTCACTCAATAAGTATTTGATATTTTGATAATTTTACTCATTTGTGATTATATTTAAACTAGAACTCCAATATAGGTACCCCTTAAATAAATTCTTCACGTAAACTCGTATTTAGTGCACTTGTACCTAAATCAGAGTAAATGCCCTTATTACTGAGTGAGTTTAAATGTATATTAATTTTGAGTAATTTGAATGGCGCCGTGAAGATCGCCAGAAGAACAGGCCTTAGCCGGCGGCGGCGGGTCGCAGCTGGCGGGTCTCAGCCAGGACAGGAGGAGACCCCGCGAAGTGAATTCTTTCCAACACTAATTAATCATTTATGAGTGTTTTATTTTTGCACTCAATATTTAGTTAATTAAAAACCAAGTCTGAGTAAAAAATGACCCAATAATAGTTCAATTTAAATCATATGAGAGAAAAAGTCAACTCTAAATTGGTTTTATATACTCAGCATAGAGTCAAAAGTCCCTCAATTGATAGTTAGCAGTAACTCAGTTGTACTCATACTAATAGAGTGAAAATCTCACTCAATCGGGCGTGAACAGAAATTGATACATTATTGAGTAAAATTGAGTGAAATTTGAGATATTTTTTTTACAGTGCTGCGAACTCCTAAAAACGTTACTACTTTCTTGTTTTATGTACAGGGAGTGAAAATTTTAATTTTAATGCGTAAAACAATCATATTTTTTGAAAAATCAATCAATCATTAAGAGATATTTTTTTAAAGCAGCAAAACCTAAAAAATGGCTGACAATAAATAACTAGGTATCCAAAATGAAAATATTTCTAAGTACAATTAATACAAAAATGCATACGTTAAATAATATAATTATTCAAAGAAATATTTTATATTTGCGTTGTTCTAATATCACCAAATATCTTGTATTCTTGCTAATCTAGTATCAACCTTTAACAAAGACCCATACTTAAAAATCTGATACCACAGAAAAATTTCTGATATCGAAAAACATCTTTTGACTTCATTTTTGAATTAAGAACTACGAGGTATAGTTAGGACATCGAAAAACAGCGTAAATATGAAGATTTAATTTTTTTTTAAATAAAATAACTACATTTCACATCATTACATCATCATCATACTAGATGGTTTGGACACAATTATATTCCCCGTAATTAAGCTATAAACTGATGAGCAAATGATAATTAATTAAAATCCATTTGATTCAGATCGGGGCTTCAGGGAGGTCATAAAATTTTACAGCATTTTTCTGATCTATCGTGGACGTAAGGATGTGCGATCTCTAGAGTTCTGAAAAATTCCAGCACCCTGTATGGGATATCAAGAAATTAATACCAATTTCAATATTATAATATTCTAAGTACATCCATTAACCAACAACAGAACAAAAATCAGTAAAATTTTATGATCTCGCTAAAAGTTTTGAGTTAAATTTAAAAAATAAATTATTATCATTTATTGAACAGTTTCTGATATAATTATGAGAATCATAAGCGTTTCTTAGCTACTTAAGTGCTATAAAGTAAGGTATTTGTTTTTTTATAAAACAATTGAAAATTTATATTTACAATCTTCTTGAAATTACTAAACGTATTTCGATATTTGATTTTACGATATTTCGTAGGTACTTTATTTACGATCGCTCTTGAATTAAAAAATAAATTGAACACCCTGTATGCAAATTCAAGAAACTAGTAATATCTTTAGAAGTTTGGGAGCAATAGGATTTTTTATATAAGGAATGACATTTTCTCACAAATTTACAAATAAAATATTTTTCACGAGACACATTCTATGAGTATTGTTGTAGTTCAAAAAGTTTCGAACGCTCATGAAAAATTCTCTATGCAAAAACAAATGAAAAAAATTAGAAATATTTTGAACTTACCATCCTCCCTGGTCCAAATTCCCAACATTTTTCCATTCTCTTCATGTTTTCTGAAAGAATATTTCAATTTTATTTCGTATTAAAGAATCTGGCGATAGATACATTAACATTAACAGCGATTTTACCTCAAATAAAAAAATTGTCATAAAATGTGAAAGAATATTTCAATTTTATTTCGTATTAGGAATCTGGCGATAGGTACATTAACATTAACAGCGACTTAACATCAAATAAAAAAATTGTCATAAAATGTTTTCAAACTTTGTTTTTTTTTGCCGGCGTTTAGGTTAACCTAGACTGAAAACGCGATCAAAACAAACAGTCTTACCTCCTAAACTCACACTTAAAGCTGACTATCACAGAATTCTTGAATCGAAACTATAAAAACAACCGTATACAAACTGCAAAAATAGACCGTAACACTCTTCGAAATTACATAGTTGGCCGCGACAAACCCGTAAACAATCGCGTATCGGACAAGTGAGCGTGTGACAGATCACACTGGCATTGTTATAAATATGTATGGACAACTTAAGATTATATATTTATATGTTTCAGCCGCCGTAAGCGCGAATCTCCCCTTCCATGGCCAAGTTGATTCAAAACCCACTTCAATGGAAGGCTGCCGCGGTTCTTGGCCAAAGCTCGCTAGATCCCCGCCGTGGAATCGGCTGATTTTGGCGGTTGCGGCACCGCACGTAGCACGGGTGGTTCTCTAAAAAATGCACTTCTTCAAGTGATTAAGAAAAGGCACAGAATTAGAACCAATCAGTGATGTACCAATGTTTCTTTATACAATTACTTCAATCGTTTAAATTTATTCTAGAAGCGTACTAAAACTGATATTTTCATTAAATTCTATTAGTTCTTCCTAAGTAAATGTAGTAGGGACTATCTATTTTGTTTAGCATTTATGAGAAACTAGAACACTAACAAGACTTTGTTGTAGACACAATGCACTTTGAAACTAAAAACAAATGTGGACGTATCAAGGCTAGCCCAACGCAAATGTATGTAAATATTGGCTACAATTGTTTGTTTGTGTGTTTAATTAAGGATTATTACGCTCGGCACTTATCTCGAAGGAAGATAAAGGGTCGCTTAGTTATTTTTAGGTTATCTTGCGAGGAAGCCTTTTGAATATTTCAGCAAAGTGCAATATCCTACGCCTTTGCAACATTCATTTGTTTGTTATTGGCGTATAGATTCATCGGTAATTACGACGCCCTGTATCTTAACGACTTCAATGACTAAATCTCTTGTTTGTTGATTTATACAATTATTTTTTTAACGAAATCTGGGTTATCTTTGACACATTTGTTTTTTTTCTCCTAACATCTCAATCTTCATGACACGATAAGCCGCAAATAAACGAATTTTCGCCCCCACCCCATGTGCTAACACAAAAATGTTCCGCGTATTTCAAAAGAAAACAATTTTTATAGCAGGATAATAGTTGATAAATAGTAGTTCAAACAATTGAAGAATACGCTGTAACAACCGCGTTATTACATTAATCTGTTGCAATCATTTCCTGCTGCTTTACATTTTACACGGTGTTCCCAAAAGCAAAGAATTACAATGAAGAAAAAGGGTAATATATATTGAGAGCATTTAAATTGGTAGGCCGTGGAAATCAAAGGAAAGCGTCACCTGTATCACAGCCTCTTACCAGAATTAATTTAGTTATTATTATTTTTTAATAACAATGCTGACATGTAAATATATCCTGCAATAACAAACGTAATAACATGCTTTAAAGTACTGATATTTCATAACTTTTTCTAGACACGAATTATTTCAATTAAAACTAGTACCATTTGGATGCATCACAACATGCAGCGTGATTATTTTAATCGTGTATTATTACAGGTAGCCGCAATATGCGGATAAATTGATTTCAACCGGTTTATTCGTGAAAACCTAGAAGAAAATGGTCCTTAATAACCGGTATTAATGCATTTTCTCAACACCTGGTCGTAGTAAATCATTAGTCTACTATTAGCATACCTCTTATCTTTAAAAATCGTAACACCTACAAAACTAGTTATGCGACTTGCAAATTCCAATGAAAGTGTCTAACGTTAGCTATAATAAATATTAATTAGATGTAAAACCGCCGGTGATCGTGAAACGGACAATGTTAAAGAGTGATAAGTTTAAGTGGTTTAATTTAGACATTAAATGTCGGTAGGAATTGAAGATATATTTTCTGTTTCCTTCTTGATTTGGGCATAACTAAAAGTGAGTTGTGATACTTTCAATCGAAAATATTTGGGATTCGACAGAAACGACTAATGTCGTTTATCAATCAATTATATTTTTTCCAGAAACATACCCAATTTTTTTTCCTGTTAAAAAGCTCTCCTTTTTATAATAAACTTTTATTAGAGAAATTTTTCTGTATTACTTCCCATTTAAAGTTATAAGTAATATGGTCCTAAAGAGTCTCTAAAGAAATACCACCTAAAAATCGCACTAGCGGTGGAAGGATCAAGTAGTCGTTGGAAAATAATTGAATGTTAGTTGTTTAAAGTGCATACATGTGACAAAATACTTGTCACGTCAAATGTATAACTTTTGTGCTTACAAAATGTTTTCTCATTCAGAAAAAGTTGATATGTTGCTAATTTATGGTGAGTCACAACAAAATTCAAGAAGAGCTGTAGAGTTATATCGAGAAAGGTATCCAGAGCTCCTCATTCCTGATCATAGAACCTTTGCCAGATTGGAGCCGACCTTGTGACGAAGTGAAGATGTATTTTCTGTTCGGAAAAATCAAATAATTGACCGAAGGGTAAGAAACAATGTTAATACAGCTAGACTGTTACAGCATTTCGAACAATATCCACGAAATTCTATACGGCAGGCTAGCCGGGAATTGAATTTGGATAAATCAGCCGTTCAACGAATTTTATACACCAATGGGTATCATGACTACAAAATTCACAATTTGAAGTATTTGCCTGAGCGTCACATTGAAAACAGACTTAATTTTATAGCTTAAATTGTAGTAAATGTAGAGACTGTTGATCATAACCTTTTTCGGCACGTTTCTTTGGACGGACGAAAGTCGGTTTGTCAGTAATGGTTTGCCAAACAGGCGCAACGAACACTAATGGTCAATTGAAAATCCCCACATTGTAAATCCAGTCTAAAACCAAGACCATTTTAGAGTAAATGTATGGTGCGGTAGACATTTAATTAGGCCTTATTTTTTATGAACATACATTGAACAGCGTGAGTTACCTAAATTTCCTACAAGAAGAACTTCCTGACGGGGCTCCACTCAACAAAACCAGGATTGTGCAGCAATATTTAGATAATACTTTCCCAAAAAAATGGATTGGGCTTAATTGACCTACTCAGTGGAAAGTCACTAGATCTAACACCCCTCGATTTTTTTTATGGGGGGGTTTTAGAAAATAATGTTCACAAAACACCTTCTCGAAATATTAGGTAATCATTTGAAAGAAAAATACACAAACGTTTGCAATGAGTTAAAAGGTGAAATGTTAATAAACGCAGTCCACAAAAAAGTCTGGCGAAGTTTGAATATGTGTCTTGAAATGAGAGGAGGCCATAATATAGAGAATAGATTGTAATATGTATGTAGTATGAAAACGTCTGCCTCATTTTTTAAATTTAGTTATTGTTATCATCACCTTTTGTTTTAACTGTATTAAAGAATTATCGAGTTCAATCCTGTACGAGAATCACTAATTTTGTTACACAGGGGTTTTATGAATTCCCTTAATACTTTTTTTCGTGGGTCCCTTGTCTTTGGAGCCTAAATTCAAGGAATTTCTAACGAACTAATAAAGTTTAAGAAATTCAAATATGCGACCAATTTTTTTTGGTTCCAAAGACAAGGGGGCCACGAAAAGGTGCCTTAAGGAGATTCCCCACCCAAAAAGCGTAGCACTATCAGATTCCACATATCATAACACCCCTGTGTTCCAAATTTAATGATTCTCGTACAACAGAACTCTCCAATTTGATGTTATACTGGTCTATATCTGAATCTCCTTTTCTCAAAATGAATAAATTCTGACTTCACATCTGTTATCAGGGTAACAAAAAAGCGAGGGCAAAATAAAATTATACCAATCTTAAAGGTTTAATAATACAGTGTGTTCATAATGAAAGGAACAAATTATTAGAATAATTACCTGAATTTTAAAGGAATTTGTTCCTTTCATCATGAACGCATTGTATTAATTTAATAGTAATGTAAGTCTTCCCAGTATCAGATACGGATTAATCTATAAACAATAGGATTACTTTAATGAATTTAGCTAAATATGGATACTATATATTTTTTTACACTGTAGAACGTTGTAACAAATTTAATAAATCTTTCAGTTCATTGACCCACCAATCAACAACAATTGTTGCTTTAAATGGTAAATATAATGGCACATTTCAATAGCATCCACTTACATCTGCACTGATGCACATGTAGAAGGAGAAGACAATCCGACATTCCCTGTATAAGCCCTTGTTTCATAGTAATCTATTCATTTTATACAGGATGTCCCCTAAGAGCATGTAGAATGGAAGACCACGGATTCTTGGGCTCAAAATGCGCCTATTTAGGTAAATCCGTCAAATTGGGATGTGGACTTTCGCTTACATTTGACACATTTTAGTATTTTACAGAGTGGTGTTTAAAACTTGCAACTGATAGAAAGTTGTTGTATGATGAAAATATCCGTCCGCAATTTTTTTCCGTTTGTGCAACAATGACAAATATTTTTCATTTGATAGCTGATACTATTTGGAAGTTTTTTGTTTTTTGTATCTCAGATATTAGCTACTACTATTATTGTTGCTATATCTTTATACTGAGTGTTAAATAAATACATATTTATTAGATATTACTCTTAATAAAAGGTCCTACCAAGTCTCTCAGGCATTAATTTCAATGCTGCGGCCGACACAGTCCTGTGTATACCTAGAGATACTATACAGGTGATTTCCCTTTAAATACAGAAAAACTGCAGAAATAGATTAGTTTGCTCTATAAACTTTTTTCCTGTGGGACTTGGTATTCGAGATGCAGGGTGTTCAAGTTTCTAAAATAGGCCATAGAAGGCCAGTGCTCTCCCAGCATGGATTCTCTTGTTGACAAGACGGCAGTGCAGTCACATAGAACATGTAGTACTGTCTCGTCTTCCTATTCACAGCCCTTCAAAGAGGTGTTTCACACTTAGAGGGTATTCTGCCGTTCAATTTCCAAGAAAAACGGAAAAGGTACGTCATATAGTCTTTCCGATTTCAATTGAAAAACCAAGAGGTTGGCAGTATCGGTCGCTGACGCAGCAACTTGGCATTGAAAAACTTGTTTCCATTTTTATTTAGCCATACCCATATCCGGTTTTAGTCGCCCAGTTGAAGAATGAGCGCGCGAGCAAACGCGGCACAAACACAGCCGCACTGGCCGACCTGGCCATAAATTCAGTTGTCAACAAATGGCCTAGCAGTGCAGCGCAGCAAT